ATAAACCCATTAGTCAAATCCTTTTTAAGACATGAAGTTAATAGATATCAGAAAAAATTAAAATACCAACGAAAAAGTTTACCTTTATTTAAAAATTCCTTATATGATACAGGTATGCCCGATCGAGAAACGCAAACCCAAGATACTGACCCAATTTGTGATCACGAGGAAGAGATTAATTGTCGCGTTAAGAAAGAGTTAGATAGTTTATCCTGACAATTACTAGAATACAATGAAAAAACTTTTGGCTCCTTAATGCAGGAAATCACTAAACAGCTTGAGGAGCGAGTTAATATTAATAATAAATTGCGCAGTGAGATAGAGAGACAAAAAATACAATTGCAAAAAGTGGAAAAAATACTTGCAAGTCTGAAGTCCCATTAATAAGTATAGTCATAATCTCTCGATGCTTGTAGCGTATCATGACATTTCTCACAGATTATCCAAGGATATTCAAGATTCAAAGATGCTAATTGATTATAGTTCTTTTTTCCATGGGCAGTAATCTGATAATTTGGATACTGTTTCATCAAATCTCCTATACTCACATTCTCATTCTTTGCCACATAGGCTTTATGAATACCATCTACCATAACTTTTATCGCATTCTTATCATACGTATTCGAAGGCTCCAGTTCAAGAGTGATAGTATCTGATTTCTTAAACTTATGGCCACCGCGAAATCTCATCCCTACAACCATAAAGGAATGTGTAACAATGCTATCTGTATATAAAGGTGACGATATTTCCTTACAACCACAACAAGTATTAGCCATGATTAAAAACTATTATATTTTCTGTATACGAATAATATCCAAGTTCAAATAGATAATCTTATTATCCGATCCACATATCCTGCAACTGTTTACTTTTTTTACCTATGCCCCATTCACGTCTAAATACCACGAACCATATAACAGCAATAAACAGTAAGATAAGTAATATATATGCTGATAATGGTGACATTAAACCACTTGCCACAATAGGTATTGCTTCTATTCCTCCTACCGAAATCTGCGGATCTGAATTTATATGTGTGTCTAACATAATATCTTTACTAGTTTCAGATGCATTAACATCCTCACTCCGTGAGTCACTTACCTTGGGTATAGGGATGTCACCGTCATCATCATCGATTTTTTCGATATCTTCTATATTTTTTCTGCGTGCTAGATACGGTCTAAGACTATTGCTAGATTCACTAATTATAGAGCTATTATCTGGCTTGGTTATATTTTTTATTGTGGGAACAAGCTCCTTTATAGCAACTCTTTGAGTCATGGGGCTCTGCCCCTTGTCATCTCCACCAACAATAGATGAGGCATAACCTCGAATTACTGATCCTTCTGATATATCCTCGGATTTCAAACTCCCGAGCTCACTAACCGTTGAAGCTAACTCTCGTTCCAATTCAATTATTTTAGATTTAAGGGATATTATTTCGGATTCTTTTTTCGATGAGTCGTTTTGGATCGAAATCACATCCTTCTGAGCTGAAGACAACTTACCTTCCAATATTTTGATCATAGACTCGAGTGACCTAATTTTCTTGGATTTTGTAATATTCTCGGCCTTTGATTCAGCAATAAAAATATCCTTTTGTGCATTATGAGAAATAAGATTAGTATTTTCATTTTGTAGTTGCTTATACTCGTTAATAACTTGCAATGCATGGGTGCGTAACTTTTGGATCTCAGTATTATTTCGTAATGAGTCTCGATTCCACCCTTTTCTTTCCCGGTCAAAAGCCTTTATATGTTTCGAGTATTTAGATTGCAATACTTCGTTACAGTTATTTAGCTTGGATATAGCCTTTAAACTGCAACGCAAAGTTTCTTTGAGTTCTTGTTCTCGCATACTACCTAGCCTATATCCTTTATTGGTATCTTGAAGTGTATGCACATTGGCCATATTTTGAATTGTCTATATATAGATATTAAAGATTAGTCATAATTGATAAAAATGGGACGTGTATATAAAGAATATTAGCACCTTATACTAGCTCCGCTAATGCAACTGTGTATACAGACAAGTCTGATAAAACTAGATTCGTTAATAATTTCTATAATTATCAAACGATATTTAACGATATTTAACGATATTTAACGATATTTAATATTAGGTATTGTTATATATTAGAGAGAATTAACACCTGGTGATTGTAAAGTAATTATTTTTATGTATCTGCTTTTGATAATATTCCCCATCTATAACAATGAATATTATTTTTTATCGTTCTATAACAATGAATATTATTTTTTATTGTTTTTTTATCATTTTAGAATATTGGATAAAAAAAAACAAACCATGAGCACTTCATATCTAAAATCTTATTATCGCAAGGGTTCTACATTATTAACTTCTGAACAAATAGAAACAATTAGAACCCTCAAGGGAAAGGTTCCTAAATATAGAATAATAAGAGATTTCCATATCAATGAGAATCGGGTTAAAGATATATGGGGGAGTCATGAACGTCAACAACAAATAATACAAAGTGACATTTCCTCTGAAATATTACCTATACCAGTAATATTACCTAAAAATTCTAACCGAATCGAAGGAGAGATTTTATTGCAGAGCAAGCCTGAAGAGCGATCCAAGGATCATGGTTCTTTGAACCTACATCTGAAGTCCACTACTCCTCCCAATACAGAAATAAAAAAGAGAAGTTCCAAATCTAAGTCTAAATCTGTTCGCATATCTGACCCAATACCCAGCAGTAGTTCGATATTAGTTAATATTGACCATGCCAGTTCCACTGATAACTTAACAAAAAAAATAAGTGGAGATACTATGAATGGCGACATTTTTAATACAGATATAGTTACTCAGATTGAACGAGAAATAAAAAGAAAAGATAAAAATTTAGTTAATACCACTCGCATAGGATCTACTACTTAATCTATAACAGACTTAACGATATTTTCACATTTTCTTTGTAGAAACTCATTACAATCATTAAGTTCGGTAATAGATTTAAGGGCAATGTATAAACTTTTCTCATACTGTACACAATTCACACATTTTTTTTTATTGCGGGACAGGCCGTTAGGCGATTCTCCGAATCATGGCTCTTCGATCCTACCTCTGACGCCTGTAATTTTTCTGTATTAAATGTATTACGCACTTTTTTTTGAGTAGAAAGTGGAATTGTAATAGTCTTTCCATTATATGTAGCGGTAAATTTACCTTTTACTATAGGATCCCATCTGGCACGATATTGCCATTTGGTACCAAGTATCATTATAGATATATCATTTCCATTTCGATCTTTTTTTGTAGGGATTACAGATATATCTTCATAAACTGTTATAGAATCTTCTCCACTACTAATAGTTATAGGAATATTATATGAAGTACCAACAGACTGGGAATCTCCAACCGCACCAGTAAGTTTGTGAACATTTTTCTTATCTATTTTTATTCCTAAATACTCTGGAATGTTATCAGTAAACATTGAAGAATCTGCGCCAGTATCTAGAATTGCATAAGGTATTATCAAGTCATCTATTCTACAAGAAATTGTTGCTACATCATTAGGTTCACTTATATTGAGAAAATCAATCTCAAAGGGATTAAGCCAATTTCGTCTTATTTGTGCTCCTTGATATACTTTAATGACGTGATTTAAAGAGTGATATTCAGTGTTTTTGTTATGGCTAAGTTTTTCTGAAGGAGGTATAAGATCTGAAGAATCTGAACCCTGTTTATTAATAATCTCAATAAATGGCTGGAAGATAGTTTGATATTTTTTCGCAATAATCTCCCATACCTTATTTCTTTCTTTGACTGTATACTTTTCACTATAATGTAAATCGAATTGATCCTTCATTTTTATAAACAGGGTATTAAGAAATGTACGAACTTCAATAAGAATCTCTTTAGGACAATGAGGTATTAATTTG